AGAGTATAAAGTGTAAATATTGTTCTTACCTAAAAGTAGAGAGGTTATTGATGAATGATGATAGATCATCAACTCACAAACAAACAGTCCACAATATTTCCAAAAAATTATAATGAAAGTATAAAAAACAAAAGATAATAACATAACAAAAACTACAATAAAATAATACATTAATCGAGGTAGAGAAAAAACATATGGCAAAAGAAATTGAAGGACAAGAAATTACAAGAGCAATACTATGACTACTAATATGAATAAACAACAAGACAATATTATCTACTAACATTCTATCTTAATTTGTGTCTTCTACCCCTTTGTATAAGGTCATGTCTTCACTAAGCTAAAACTACGATATGTCATGTCTAAATATCCCTCCTCAATACTTTTTCGATCTAACTCTCTTGAAATCATTCATAACCAACTTTTCACACCTCTGCACTAATATCCGCGCATCTCCTCTTCACATTCCCAAATTGTCCCAGTCTAGCTTTCCGCATCTTGTCCACCACGAAAGTTAATTTCACCTTGTCCCAGATATACTAATGTCTAAGCATATCTCCTTAATATTTCTGCACATCCATCGCATCTCTAGTGACTTTCCGCTGCTCTCATAATTAAGATAGTTCATTCGCTGGATTCCATTTTCACAACTTTCATCGTTTGAAGGTGAGATTTGTTGACTTCCAGACACTCTACGCTATAGAATTTGCTTTTAAATTTTGGTTGCACCAGCTTTTTATCACATAAAGCTTCGAAATCAAGCCTTCATTTTATCCGTCTTTGCAACAATATGATGAATAGAATCCCCACCAAACTCCCTATCCTTTGAATAATAAACTCAAGATATTTAAAACTTTCACTCTTTTGGATAACATGTATAATAATATTATATCTTTCACATCACCTTCATAAATCACGTCATTAAACTTGCACTCCAAGTATTTTATTTTGATCATGTTCAACCTAAATTGTTTAGACTCTCTACAAATCTCTAGCTTAGTGTTATTACCACTGAATCTTGTCAACCAGAATTATGTCATCCACAAATAACATATATCACAACACCTCACATAGATTTGTCTAGTCAATGCGTTCATTGCCAATGCAAATAAAATAAGTTAAGTGTCATGTCCTGCTACTTCACTGTTCAAATTTGGCAATGAAATAAGGAGGAAGAATCTAGAGTTATGGGGAGGTTAGTAGAACACTCTAGAATTCCCTAGAGAATTTCCTTAGAAAACTCTAGAAACACTTTAGATATTTTAAGAATACTTTGGAATATCCTAGAACATGTAGAGAGTTCTAGAGAGGGACCAAAGTGTAAATACTTTAGGGACCTGTAAGGTAAATTTTATTTGCACTTTAGCTCCTAGGTTGTAGTATAAATAGATGGGGCATTCATTTGTAAGGCATACAACCAAGTTGTAAAGCATTCCACAAGCAATATAAAAACCTTATTCCAAAAACTCTCGTGTTCTTTCTAAGTCTTTCTTGGCATTCTCTTAGTGATCTTAGTCGTATAGGCTTGCTTGAGATTACAAGATCTTGCAAGAGTAGTGAGTACGTTGTCAAGCGCCGCACGGAGCTTTAGCGAAAACTCTAAGTCCGTGACAATGTGGTATCAGAGCAAAGGTTTGTACTAAGAGAATGGCTAACGAAGAAGACACAAAAGCCACTAGCACCACCAATGTTCGTCCGGATGGTGAAAAGAAGGACCACAAGGGAAAGAAGCACCTTAAGAGTAACGAGAAAACACTGCTCGACCCTACACCAAGCAAGGCGCTAACATCTCACCCACATTCGACCACTGAAGCAAGTGACGATGACTGTGGCGAGGATCCGATTGACGTCACACCCGGAGAGGAGTGGATCGCAAGGGTTGAAACGGCGAGGCAGGCCGTGGAGATCTTAGGCAGACGCATGAACAAGGTCGATGGCAAGTTCAAGACTCTAGAGGACTTCACCCTTGAGGAGACTTGACAACATCCGCAGGGAGTTGGAGGGCCGCCAGCGTGCCGAGTTTGAGATGAATGAGGTCATCACTTCCTTGGAGTGTCGACTCATGGAGGCGTTAAGCACGATTGAGACCATGAAGGCCGAGATGAAAGCACTCAAAGAGGGTGTGGAAGTTGGAGGATCGTTGTCGTTCGACCGATATAGGGAGGCCAAGGTCGAGTCTCCCAAGCCATATATGTTCAAAGGCGTCTGCGACGCGCAAGAGGTGGAGAATTTCTTATGGCACTTGGAAAATTACTTTAAGTGTAACCGAGTGAAGAACAATGAAAACAAGATCAACACCGCTGTATTGTATCTTTCGGAGATGACCATGCTATGGTGGAGGCGTAAATAGTTGGAAATGGGGAAGGGACTTTGCACCATCAACACTTGGGAGCAATTCCATGTGGAGTTCAAGAAGGCTTTCTTCCCTAACAACGTCATCTATGAGGCGAAGCGCAAGTTTAGGGAGCTGAAGCAGACATGCAGCATACGCGCATACGTGAATGAGTTCACCACCATCACGCTTCAGATTCCTAACCTCACGGATGAAGATATGTTGTTCCACTTCATGGATGGGCTACAAAATTGGGCCAGGATGGAGTTAGAACGCCGACAAGTCAGGACTATAGATGAAGCCATCACGCAGGCTGAAGCTTTGACAGACTTCAGGCATGAGAAGCCCGACAGAGCTGGAGAAGAGGAGCTGAGAGGTAGTCATGACCATAGTGGGGGAGATCGTGGCAAAGTCGAGGAGCATCGGCCACATCCCAAGAAGCATGATACCTATAAGTCCGATGGTAAGAAGTTTGGACGTCAAAGGTATGTCGAGAGGAAGACAGAGCCTACAAAGATAAATGGTTGCTACATATGCGGTGGGTCGCATGGCTATGCAAGGTGACCTGAATTGAAGAGCCTTAGTGCTATCCTGCGAGAGCGGAAGAAGAATGATGCACAAGAGTAAGGACAAGGCATAGATACGATGCAGTTGGGCTTGATAGGACTATACAGAGCTAGCACCAAGCAACTAGGGAAGCCGAAAGAATATAGCGCACAATATGTCAACATCACGATTAATCGAAGATCCGCTCGTGTTATGGTCGACACGGGTGTAGAGGCCAATATCATGACCAAAACAGCAGCGACTAGGTTGGGGCTGAGTTTCAATCCAAGTAACGCCCAACTCAAGACGGTCAATGCACCACGGACTCCCGTGTGTGGAGTCGCGCATGGAGTAAGCATCACGTTAGGCGAGTGGCAAGGTAAGACCAACTTCACTGTCACTCATTTAGACCTCTTCGATATCATTCTAGGGCATGAGTTCTTCCAAGAGTGTCACGCGGTGATAAACCCTTACCTCCAACGACTTCTAGTCATGGAGCAAGTAGGATCATGTATGGTGCCCCTGGTTAAGGTACCAAAGACGGAAGAACAAGTCCATCTAACAGCCAAGCAGCTCGTAAGAATCCCCAAGAAGAATGAGTCAGCTTTTATAACCACCATTGCAAGTTCGAAAGAAGACAATGGTGCAAAAAGGTCCTTGCCACCATGTATGAAGAAGGTTCTAGAAGAGAACAACGTCGTAATGCCAAAGAAGCCGCCAAGGTGTGTGTCTCCTAGGAAGGAGGTAGATTATAAGGCCGAGCTGAAAGAGATTAGGAAGCAACTGAAGGAGTCGCGCGAGGGCGTTGATCGGGTCAATAGACTATTGGTCACGCGTATGAGAAGACAAGTCTCGATTGGCGATGCAGCGACGATGCGACGCAGTCGTCCCATCAATAGGTGGGGGAGAGTGTCATGTCACGGCACTTCACAGTTCAAATTTGGCAATGGAATAAGGGGGAAGAATCTAGAGTTGTGGGGAGGTTAATAGAACACTCTAGAATTCCTTAGAGAATTTCCTTAGAAGACTCTAGAAACACTTTAGATATTTTAAGAATACTTTGGAATATCCTAGAACATGTTGAGAGTTCTAGAGAGGGACCAAAGTGTAAATACTTTAGGGACTTGTAAAGTAAATTTTATTTGCACTTTAGCCCCTAGGTTGTAGTATAAATAGATGGGGCATTCATTTGTAAGGCATCAACCAAGTTGTAAAGCATTCCACAAGCAATACAAAAGCCTTCTTCCAAAAACTCTCTTGTTCTTTCTAAGTATTTCTTGGCATTCTCTTATTAGCGATCTTAGTTTTAAAGGCTTGCTTGAGCTTACAAGATCTTGCAAGAGTAGTGAATAAGTTGTCAAGTGCCGCACAGAGCTTTAGCGAAAACTCTAAGTCTGTGACATAAGGGTTGATCCCTAGTGTACTTCATCAAAACTGAGAAGCTCTGTGGATCTCCTCCCACAATTCTTACATGAGTCTTGACTTCATCATGCATGTTGTTGATCACCCTAGTGTATGCCATAACTACACCCCTAACCTCCAATCGGCTCGAAAGAAACTCCATTGGAACGTTATTATCGATGAACACTATATGTGAGTCCTTTCTTTCCGTATATTGCTTCGTTAATCTCTTTACGAGATAAATAACTTGTATATCCTAATGCCTTAACACGAATCCAAATTGATTATTTAAAATTGTCAAGCACCTCTTTATCCTCATCTCCACCACCCTCTCATTGATCATCATAGTATGGCTTCTCAGCTCGATTCCCATATCACTATTACACTATAATATCTCCCTTATTTTTATACAACACAAAATTATTATACTAAACTAAATATTAAATAAAAAGAAAAATCAAAATAAATGCAATTACATCAAAACAATCATTACATAACATAATATAAAATTATCAATATAATATGCTAATAAAATTAGAGTAATAATTAAAATAAATATTATATTTAAAAAAATAAAATAATTACAGTACAAAATAAGTGATCGTTTAATTGTTAGTTAATATATAATTTATTCAGATATTAAAAAGTAAAACAACAATTAGATGAAATAACTAATACCCGCATAACTTTTAAACCCGTCCCCTAAAAAGCATCTGCCCACCTCTCTAATGACCAGCAAAATTGTGTACAAACTCCAAACTCAGTACCATCTTGCTGAGAGGGAGAGATGACAAGGGGAAAGCAAAAGATCGAGGCTCAGAGGAAAAATGCCGAGAAGAATCAGAAAGGAAAAGGGTCTCAGCTTGAAGCCCGTGCCGTTGGCCTCAAAGTCATCTGTCCCATTTGTAAAGTATAAAATTCTATACACCCTTTTCGTTTTCCTTTCAACAATTTCGATTCTTTCTGCTAGATTCGCTTGTATGTGCTTGTTTATCTGTTATGTGGCTGTAATTTGTGGAATTTTTGGTGTCTATTTGATTTTTTTTCTTCCTTTTATGGATAGTAATCTAGATCCAAGTTTTTTTTTGTATAGTTTGGTGGGTTATGCTGCTGGGAAGGAATTTACAATCATTTAACCTTCGTTTTGGATATCAAGAAAGTTGTTGAACGAATATGTAGACAGAATCGCATCTAAAGTAAAATAAAGGAATCAAAGAGTGATTTTTCTGGTATTTGTTTGTTTGAAAGGAAAAATTAGGTTTAGATTAAAGGAACCAATTCATTGGAAATGTTGCAACTGAAGTTTTTCTTGGGGAAAAGTTGCTTATCATATTCATAAAGCTTTTTACAGAACACTTAACATTCCAATACTTCCTTTTCTTTTCTGGGTATCCAAACAACAACACATAGAAGTTGGCGCTGAAAGGAAACACAATGGAATTAGATAGTTGGTTGATTGGTTATCCATCCATATTAGTAATAAGGTTCCAACTTCCAACCACGTTAAGTAGCTTCTGCTGTCCCTGTTTGTTTACATTCCTCATCTGTTATTGTGTTATCCTGAAATCATCCCGTGTTCTTAATTCAACTACCTAGTAGTTTAGTACCTGTATTTCCGTTTTAACCTCTTCCTACTTACTCACCATTTAGGCATTTATTATTGTTTTTAGATTACATTTCTCATCTGCTATTGCTTTAGATTTTTATTGGAACTTCCCTGAAAACAATTTTATAACTTCAAATGTATTGCCAATTTTTGTAAAGAATCTAGGCTATTTGAAATCATTCAGTTTCCCATGACAAGTTGGAAATTTGGAGCAGCCAAAATAATAACCAAGTGCTTGCTTGTTATCCATAGTTCCTTTAACATTTTTTACTCGCTCAACCTGTGGTGATGTAACTTCCCTTTATAGTGGTTAGCCTAGCCGTACTTTTCCTTTTGTATCTATATTTCTTAGGAACTTAAACTGATCGAGTGAGTCTAAGACATGACTCGTAAGGTTAGTGAAATGTTGAGATTCTACTTTGTTTGGGGTCAAATCTATGTTCTCAATGGTGGTTGAATGACTTATTATATCCGGCTGCTTCAAATCACTAATTAACATTGTCTCAAATGAGCTCTATGTCTAGTTTTGTTTGCTCGTCTACAGCTTCAGTCCTCTACTCATTATACTCAAAGCACTACAAGTTATCCCTTTTCAAGTGAATGCACTCTAGTAAACAAATTGAAAAGAGAAAATGGGCTTTCACCCCTTTGAAAGAGGAGCATGGAAGCCCCACATTCCCCTCTCCTATTCTCCCAGGAGTCCTTTCTTACCTGTCAATGCTTTGTGTATTGCAGTACATTGCCATAGTAATCCCTCACACTTGTTCCTTACTTGTAGTAATCCATTGTTTAAATGGTCAAGTTGTCTTTCCATGAAACCGTGCAGGAAACAAAATCCTTACTAAGTTCTTCCTTATAATGCTTATGTTCTTCCTTTATTTTTTTTTTGGGGGTGAGGGGAATGGGGGATTTGTGTGTAGGAACAAGTTTTCATGGTTGTTACCCGCCCATTAGGGGCACTTTATGTGTAAGATGGGAGCATTGAGTAGGATAATAACTTATCTGCACCCGGTGTTTACACCAAATCAATGAATGCAAGAGAAGTGTCTTTCATATACATTAATCAATGGTTAAGTGATATGTATTCTTGGTTTAATGAAAACACCGACTGCAAGTAACTATTTACCAAAGAGTAGGGTAGATCAACTTTGTTTGTCATTTGATTTACATTTAATTAGGCTTCAGTGCCTTACCAAATTACTGGATTCAAGAGCCACAAACAGATTGTATCCTGTGTCTGTCAGTTAAAACTGGGAAAAAGTTAGTATCACAAATGATTAAAACTTACTTTATAGTTGCACTAGGTTTAACTCAATAGCTACATGTTCTATGTTGCATTATCAACAACTGTGCTGTACTCCTTTTCTCAAGGCATGCTAAGGTTTTTGTCGGTTTTCTATGCTTTCACTTGAGCAATTTGTTTTGTTTTTTTTCAGGCGCAGCTAGCAAATCAAAACCAACTTGTGGATCACTATGGCTCTAAGCATCCAAAGGAAAAGGCTCCAAGTAACTCAGAATAACATTTCCTGTTTCTTGGGAAGCTTCTCAAACTTTTGAATCAATTAGTAAAAACTCTGTTAAAAAGGCAAGAGTCGAAGCTGCTTTGTGAAATAGACTGAACATTCTCTGTGAATAGTGTAAGCAAGAAAACAATAAAAATCTAAAAGAGGATGGATGGTTATGATTTTTAGCTGCATATGTTAACTGGCCATTTTCACCTTTGTCCATATTTTGTGCTGGTCTTTAATTTATGTCCTTAGTAACAAATAGTTTTTCGTGGGTATAAGTTTATATTTTCGTATCATAATATTCCTAAGTTATGACTTCAGTTTCTAAAGAACTTGTGTCACACTAAACATAAGTTTGATTGCTAAAGGGCAATAATTAAGGAACGATCCATTTAAAGGGAAAAACGTGTGATTTGATGTATGTTAACCCATCACGAAACTATGGTAACAGTCAAACTGCAATATTAAATCATCCAAATCAAACCATGGATGCCTTTGTTACTAATATAATTTGGCTGTTGGTGAAATTTAAAGCTAGTAGAGTTCAACTATTCCATGCACAAATTAATTAAAAACAACATAAGAAATGTCAACTACCTAAAAATATATTTTCTAAAGAATTTATTAATATGAGTTTAATATTGAACCCTCAAATAAAGTGAGTAGTAGTAGTACTTTTGAGATGAATATGTAATGTTCGTGCAGTGATAGTTTTCGTAATTATGGTTAACAGAAGGATAAATTAGAATATTTTGATCTAGTCAATATTATTCCTAGTTGACCTATTCCAAGGTTTAATTATACGTGAATTCACGTGCAAAATACACACACCAATACTCTTAATTTGCCAGTATTTCTTATTTTATTACATCAAGATTACAATTCGAGTATGTAAAATTTTGAGAAATCACAGAGTTCATTTTGTATTGAAAGAAATCACTCATTAATTGTAATCCCTTTATCCCTAATTACTTGTCCACTTTTGAATTGACATACCTGTTAAGAAAATAATTATTGATATAGTGAGTTTTACCATTTTATCTCTATTAATTATGAAGTAGATGAATTAAAAATTTAAAATTTTCAAGAAGTTCTACTTTTTTCAAAATTAAATAATTAAGGATATGTTAATTTTTTTTTGTCCTTTTTTTATTTGTCAAAATAGATAAATGAAAAAAGAAAAATTAAACAAGTACTGTTAGTAACAGATGGAGTATATATAGGGAGAAAGATCAAATCTTCCTTTTTGTATAGAATAATAATTATGGCTTGATTGGGGGACATGTGACATCATTGGTATCAAGTTTAGTCATTTGAAAATACGAGTAAATTAAGATCATTTTGGTAACATTGAAAGCATATTTTAATTTCAACTACTTAGTTTCTCCATCTTAGTTTATTTGTGGTACTTTTTACTTTTAAAGATTTATATTAACTAAAAAACTAAATTAGATTAGATCAATTTAATATTGAGAAAATAACGCGTATAAGTAAATATATACTAGTTAATTAGTTATCATAGCTATAGTTTGTCTTAATTACAATTCACAATCTACTTTTAGCTATAATTACGCGGCTCAACTTTTTAGTTTTGTACAATTCACACGTTTGTATAATATAATTTGTATAATTTGGAATTTGTGTAGCTATTTATACTTCTGATGTTTGTAATTGTATAAATTCGTTATTTCAAGTTTATACAAAAATAACTGAATCATACAAATATACCCGTGAATTATACAAACATGCAAATTATACAAATCTGCGAATTATACAAACGAAACAACTTAAACTGCAGCTACAACATGTAAATATGCAAACTATAACTATCGAGTATAATTAGATTTATTATAGTGACTATTTGCTAAAGTTTTCCGAAAATTTATAGAGTTAAAATTTCGAAATGAAAATATAAATTGTGCGAGAGAAACTATAGAGGGAAGACTCAACTATTTCAATTTCTTTACTTCAAAAGTCTGAAAGGAGGCCCGCGCTAAATCGTGCGCTGCACAAATTGTTCCAACAATCTTCTTTAACAAGCTTTTCCCCTTCACTACTAAAAAGTATATAACTAGTTTTCAATCATCTGCAACTTCTCAGCACTGAAAACATTCAAACAATGGCCACCATTACCAAGCTTAAAGTAGATGAACTTCGTAAGGAGCTTTCAAGTCGCGGTCTTGATACCACAGGAACCAAACCCATACTGGTTAGCACCTATAGTTGGCAGTAATTGCATCTATTGCTTGTTATTTTACTGGTTTTAATTGAGTACCCACATTGGGGAAATTGCAGGTAAAGAGGTTGGAAGAGGCTATTGAGGTGGAGGAGGAGGAAAACAAGAAGAAATTGAATGGTGATAAGAAAAGGTCGAGGGTTGATTCTGACTCAATTGGGTCAGTGAAAATGAATGATGTGGAGGAGTATAAGAAAATGAGTGTTAAGGAGTTAAGGGAGGTAGCTACTTCTCGTGGGATTTCAAGTACTGGGTCGAAGAAAGAACTTGTTCAGAGGCTTTGTGCTGCTGCTGATTCAAAGAAAAATGACTCAAAAGATGATCTTGGAGGTACTGTCATTAAGTTAAGCTTATGAAATTTAACCATCAGTTTATTCAGTAACATAACTTTTTTTTTTTTTTTGGAACCTAAACTTAGTTTCTTTGTTAAAATTAGTAAAACCGAGGGAAGAGTAGTTTATGTTGGCTTAGCACTTGTTTGCAGGATTATGATTTCCCTGACTGGTTTTGATGGTGCTTGAGTGCATTGTCAAGTCGAAACTAAAAATAGTCTTGTATTATAATTTTATTTGACCTTTCACGTTTAATTTCTACTTCGTCCTGTAATTTATCTGTTTTGTTGCAAAAGAACGTGGCTTTAACCAATAACTTTTTAGTGTATTAATAACTTGTCAATTTGAGATGATGACGATGACAACAACATACCTACTAACTAGTGTGATCCCACAAGTGGGGTCTGAGGACGCCGGAGGGTGGAATGTAGGCAGACCTTATTCCTACCTTGTGAGAGGTAGAGAGTCTGTTTCCGATAGACCCCAATTCGAGATGATACGTTTGCAAATTATTACACTTTTCATACAGCTTTGTGATTGTCTAACTTTCTATTTGCGAAGTGGATTAATCTGCAATCTACTCTAGTATTGTTTAAATCAAAAGTGACTAAATTTTAGGGGAGTAGCTTTATACTAAGTAGCAAGTAGAATTGAACTCTTTAAGAAGCTTTTAACAGTAGATTGTTATCATAATTACTAGTATATACTAGAGTAGTTAATGCTACAAAATGGTAATAATGCACTATATTATATTGATTAACACAGAAATATAGTAAAGTGGTTTGCTTAGTGAGACAGTCTAGGCTGAAACTAACTTGACTCTTTATGCTATCTATTTGGTTGTGCTTTTCATCCCTTTTTAGTGAGAAATGACTGTGTCTTGCTTGCTGTTAAAATATTTGGCAGTTGGAGATGAAGGCGAGACAGAGAAATTGGTCACAGCAACAAAGAAAGGTGCAGCTGTTTTGGATCAATACCTGTCAGATGACATCAAAGAACAGTATCATGTCCTGCAACAAGTAAGTCATTTAGAAACATTTTGCTTCTGGCTGCAAAGAAGTATTTGCATTGTCCCCCCCTCCCTCGCTCTTATCTGTCGAATAAGTAAGTCGCGGTCTTGACACCACAGGAACCAAACCCATACTGGTTAGTACCTATAGTTGCCACTAATTGCATGTCTTGCTTGTTATTTTCTTGTGTTTGAATTGAGTACCCATTTTGGGGGAAATTGCAGGTAAAGAGGTTGGAGGAGGCTATAGAGGAGGAGGACAACAAGAAAATATTGAATGGTGATAAGAAAAAATCGAGGGTTGATTCTGACTCAATTGGGTCAGGGAAAATGAATGCTGTGGAGGAGTATAAGAAAATGAGTGTTAAGGAGTTAAGAGAGGTAGCCACTACTTGTGGGATTTCCAGTTCTGGGTCGAAGAAAGAACTTGTTTTTAGACTTTGTGTTGCTGCTGATTCACAGAAAAACGACTCAAAAGATGATCTTGGAGGTACTGTAGTAGTATTGTTGCTGTGGACAAATTTCTCCAATTTTACTGTCATTTTTTGGTAACAACTGTGAACATTACCATTGATAACAAAAGAAAATTACAGCTTTAATCACCTAACAACATAGAGTGCCTAGTCTATCCACTTCACCTCACAGCTAGTTACCAGTTAAAGCTTGAATAAAATTCCTACATTTATACAGTTTCTTTGATTCCTGAAGTCTATCTGTTCTGTCTATGAATTCCTGTTTGATCTGTGTTATAACTTGCTCATTTTGTACATTTACTCCTCTGTATATTTTCCAGTTCCTCGCTCTCCAAGTGAGATATACCATAGCCCTCCATAGAGCAGCCACTATATCTTTCTTTGCTTTACTCCAATGCTTCCTGTTATTCCAGTAGTACCTGATCAATTCCAGTTGCTTGTATCTGTATGTGAGTCCATTGCGTGATCACTTACTTTACTTTCTGCGTCCATACACATCGAGCAAATAAATGGTCAGTTGACTCAAACTCATGTGTGTCACAAAGACGACACTCTCCATTTTCCACCTTGATGTGCATCTTCCTGAACCATCAGTTAATTCATTAACGTAACTTCCTTTTTTGGGGAACCTAAACTTAGTTTCTTTGGTTAGAATTCTATCTAAAATTTGGAGACCTTAAGTGAAATATCACTCTAACAATTAGTCAGACCAAGGGAAGAGTAATTTATGTTGGTTTAGCACTTGTTTGCAGGATTATGTTTTCCCTGACTGCTGTTAATGATGCTCGAGTGCATTGTGGAGTTGAAACTAAAAATAGTCTTGTTTTATAATTTAATTTGACCTTTCACATTTAATTTCTACAACATACCTAGTGTGATCCCACAATTGAAGTTTGGGGAGGGTGGAGTGTACGCAGACCTTACTCCTACCTTGTGAGAAGTAGAGACTGTTTCCAATAAACCCCAATTTGAGATGACACAATTGCAGATTATTATACTTTTCATATAGCTTTGTGATTGTCTAACTTCCTATTTGCGAAGTGGATTAATCTACGATCTACTCTAGTATCGGTTAAATCAAAAGTGACTAAATTGTGGAACTTAGGGAGTAGCTTTATACTAGTAGAATTGAACTCTTTAGGAAGCTTTTAACAGTAGATTGTAATTACTGGTATAAGCTAGAGTAGTTAATGCTGCAGAATGGTAATTGTGAGAAATATAGGAAAATAATATTATTGAATTGTTGTTGTGTCTACATTATTACATTGAGACCTTATTTATAGACACTACAATACAATCTTTTATCAAGTAGGATACTATTTACTATTCCTATTTCTATTTCTATTCCTATTCGTATTCTAAATAGGATTGTATAAACCTATTCGTATTTTAATAGGATTGTATAAGCCTATTCCTATTCTAATAGGATTGTATAAACCTATTCCCATTCTAATAGGATCGCATAAACCTATTCATGTTCTAACACCCCCCTCAAGCTAGTGCATACAATTCATGTACCTAGCTTGTTACAAATGTAATTAATATGAAGATCGATGAGGGGCTTGGTGAGATATCTGCAAGTTGATCAGTCGACTTCACAAAATTGACAGTCAATCTCAATGTGCTTGTCTTCTCATTAAATATTGGATTTTGATGCATAATGTCAGTCAATCTCAATGTGCTTAATCTTCTCATGATTTATTGAATTTGATGCATAATGCCGATAAAACACAGAGTGATAAAATTACAGTGTTGAACTTCCCAAACCAAACTTGCAAAGACTGTTTCAGACTATAGAGTGACTTACATATGACATACACGGCTACTAAACTCCCCCTGAGTAACAAAGTGCTCAAAATATAGTATAAAGTATATGGATCGTGTTGGAATCAATAGATGAGTCGATATTAAACAAGAAAGTCACCGAAAAATTGGTCGGAACATGCTCATACGCCGGAGTACTAGATTTATGGCTGAAAGTGGTCACAATCTAAGAAATAAAATTATATGGGTAGGGTCGGAATGATGACGTGATGTTACACAAATTAGATATGAGAAAATAATCACATGAAAGGTACACCTAGATTTATGGCTGAAAGTGGTCACAATCTAAGAAATAAAATTATATGGGTAGGGTCGGAATGATGACGTGATGTTACACAAATTAGATATGAGAAAATAATCACATGAAAGGTACACGGTAACCCAACTTTTGCTAACTTAATCATTGACCAGACGGGCAACATATATGGGTAATAGCCACTTGCCGGCAGCGAAAGCTCTTTGATTCTCTACAAAGATCGTAGAGGCTCTGATACCATGTGAGAAATATAGAAAAAGAATATTATTGAATTGTTGTTGTGTCTACATTATTACATTGAGACTCTATTTGTAGACACTACAATATAATCTTTTATCAAATAGGATACTATTTACTATTCCTATTTCTATTTCTATTCCTATTCGTATCATGTTCTAACAGTAATAATGCATTATACATACTGATTAGCACAGAAATGTAGTGAAGTGGTTTACTTTGACTTAGTGCTACGGTCTAGGCTGAAACTAACTTGTCTATTTACGCTATCTATTTGGTTGAGTTTTTCATCCCTTTTTAGTGAGAAATGACCGTGTCTTACTTACTGTTAATAAATTATGGCAGTTGGAGATGAAGGTGAGATAGAGAAATTGGTCACAGCAACAAAAAAGGGTGCAGCTGTTTTGGATCAATACCTGTCAGATGACATCAAAGAACGGTATCATGTCCTCCAACAAGTAAGTCTTTTAGAAACTTTTTACTTCTGGCTGCAAAGAAGTGTTTGCATTGTCCCTTTTTTCCCTCTTATCTGTCTAATAAAGTACAGATTCCAATGAATTCTTGTTGATCTGCAGGGCAATGATATTTATGATGCCACATTGAACCAAACAAATGTTGGGAACAACAATAACAAGTTTTATATCATTCAAGTTCTAGGTGATTCCCATTTGTTGCCTCATATACATCTTAATTTGTTGGAAGCAAACTGCCTAGTTGCCTTGCTTTCCTTTTAAAGTGGTTTTCTATGCTATGGTAGCAATATAAACCATAATAAATTGTTCCAGCTAATTGGTTGCTAAATCATCTGAGAAATCTGATTAATTCTGATGGTGGGCCCACCCTGAGAACAACTATGAATATTGTATTTGGTTCATCATGTTCTAGAAACAACTGAGAATTCTTACATATTTGGAACTTGCTGATATTTACATCATGTCCTACCCTTCTCCATATTTGTTTGGCCTGATTCTATTCATTTGATTGCAGAGAATGATAGTGGTGGGAATTTCCTTGTTTACACTAGATGGGGTAGAGTTGGTGCAAAGGGCGGAACAAAGATCAATGGTCCCTACACGTCTGCCTATGATGCCACATCTGAGTTTGAGAGTAAATTCTATGATAAGACCAAGAACTATTGGTCTAACCGCAAAGATTTTTTTTGTCAACCAAAGCATTATGCTTGGTTGGAAATGGACTATGCTGAAAATGGGAAAGACTCCTCAGTAAGTGGTGTTAAGTTGCTTGTTCTCTATTGGGACAATCATGTAGTAAACTTATTATTTCTGGCTTTCTGCGTTGCTGCCAATCCTATTGCTCTATATCGCAATTGTGTAGATGTATTAAACTCATTATTTTTTCCATCAACTTAGATTCTTTTGCTCTACTTTCTGCTGTTGCATCTGAGTCCAGTTGTGAAAGCAATAACTTGCAATTTTCTATAATATGAATAAGCAGTTTGGTTTGAAGTATCATTCTTGTTTATTAGGTCCAAGGACAGTCCAACCCAGTACATAAAAGTCAACCTCGTGAGACTAAGCTGGCGGCCCCGATTGCAAAGTTCATATCTCTTATTTGCGACATCAATATGATGAGGCAGCAAATGATGGAAATAGGTTTAGCACTTTTCTTACACCATAATGGTCCTTATCTTGATATTTGTCACTTCTATTGTAACTACTAAATATTCTTGTTATTGTTGAACAGGATACAATGCTAACAAGTTGCCACTCGGTAAATTGAGCAAGACAACTATTTTTAAGGCAAGTATCTGCTGTGTGATTTATGCTTTAGTGTCTCATTTCTGAATTACTTAGTTTTATCTCTATTTTTTAAATCTGTGCGGTCCTGAGTGAAAAATAATCGATGAAGCATATACCAAATCATGTAAAGATTCCCTTAAACCTAAATTCTTTACTCCCTCCCCACTAGTATTTCCTCATCAAAGCTTGAGGTCTTGATTGGTGCTCTCCTGGAGTGCTGAAAATTCTCAGTCTTGTTACTAGATTGCCTGACTGGAATCTGATACAGAGTGCTTTCACAAGGTATTTGCTGAAGAAATGGGAAAAATACGCACGGAGGATTAAAAGTATTGAAGGGTGTTGGGAGAAGATAGTTAGCAGGAAGTGGATGCATGTTGTTAGAAGCCATAACCTTTATATATTATAATGTTCTCTGTACTCTGGTAGTCCAGTCTACCCTCACCAAGACATAAACGAATCAGTAAATAGATTAATAAATGAGAGAAAAAAGAGAATCACTCTGTACTATTCAACTAAAAGTTTGTTTCTGTTTAGGGCTATGATGTCTTGAAAAATATTGCTGATGTAATTGGCCAGTCCAACAGACGACTGCTTGAAGATTTGAGCAGGTAAGCTTGTTTCATTCCTACTGTGAGCTGTTTGATTATGGTCAATGATCAATGCACATTTGCTTAGCCCTTACCATGTTGTTTCTGGAATTTTAGAAGCTTCAGGAGCTGTTTGTAACCATGAATATATGGTTGCTGATATTTTCATCATTTTCATGTTGCAGTCAATTTTATACAGTCATTCCTCATGATTTTGGATTCAAGAAGATGTGTAAGTCATCTTAGTTCCTTTTCCCCCAAAGTCTCATTTTGACTCGTCCTGCTTTATCTGCTTGCTTGATACTCCAGTCTTTCTTTTTCCATGTGTCATTTTTTTTCCCTCAGTTACTTTAGGTTGATGGTAGTAGTTCTGTTAGTTTTTGTGTAACTAACTAATATACTCATTTTTCTACTGTCAGGTGAATTTGTCATCGACACTCCTCAGAAGTTAAAAAGCAAAATTGAAATGGTGACTGATTTTTTCTCTTCTCTAAATTTACTCCTTTTCTCTTTCCTCCTGATCATTATTCTCTGTGTGTGCGCATTTCAGTCAAAGGGGTGGACTTGCCTGCTTTGTAGTGCTTTTGACAGTTAATTGGACTGACTGATCATTTGATGTTTCATCATCAACTGTTATGTCCATCTAGAAGCATGAATTTCTTATTTACTGTTTGTTGGTGTTCCCTCACAAATGAGTTGGTTCTAAGTTGTCCTGCTGTATGCATGAGCTAACAAAGCATATGTTAGAAAGCTGAATTAGCTGTTGTCAGTAAAAACTGATCTTTACAATGAAATTTTATTTCAATGCTTCTTTACATTTATTTTCATTCTGCTTGTCTATTGTTTTACTTATTTCTACCTGACCCTATTGCTGTGGTTAACTCTTGGAAATGAAAAGGTCGAAGCTCTTGCTGAAATTGAAGTCGCAACTAAGTTATTGGAGGATAACACAGATATACAGGTACTGCTTTGCCGAGTCTTGTTGAAAGTAATTGCTTTAGTTTTGGTGCGAAAAGAACAGTCTGTAGAGTATAGATAAATATTTTGGAAGCTCTAAAGTAAAAATAAAAACCTCAATTTTTGGCTCCATTTTGGTGCATCAGTGAAATGATTTTTGATTTATCTTTGAAATAATAAAAATGGTTTTGGTTTGAAGCTATGTTCCAAGAGATCTAGCTTTTAACACAATTTAATTTGCTTTTGCACACAATAACTGTTTGATGATTAAGATATAACTCATAATTGACATCATCTTCTTGTAGGAGGATCCCTTGTATTATCAATATGAACAACTTCGTTGCAAACTTGTTCCAGTTGAAGTCGGTTCCCAAGAATTTCTCATGGTATGAAAAAGTTTTTGATGGATCTATTACTTCATGGCCTTTATCTTCTGAGTATTGTATTTCCTTATTCAGAGTATTGATCAGCTTGATAAGCATGAACATTGTGAATTTATTTGTTCATTTGGTCCATGCACGTCATGTCTTCTACTATAATTGATTTTTGTCTCAGATCATTATTCATCTCTGGAGTTATAAAGCAGAGTGATGTTATTTTTGGTCAGATTGAGAGTTACATGAAGAATACTCATGCAAAAACGCATTCTGGTTATGCTGTCGAAATTGTTCAAGTATTTAGGGCATCAAGAGATGGTGAAACTGAAAGATTCCAGAAGGTGAACTCCAAAGTCTCATGAAATTCCTTACAACAGCTTTTTCTATTTTATTAACATAACTGCTTCTACCCAAGACTGATGTAAAATCTGTGAACTCTCTGGAAGCAGTTCTCTGATACGAGTAATAGGATGCTTTTATGGCATGGTTCTCGACTCACAAACTGGGCTGGCATTCTATCACAGGGTTGTTTGCTTATTCTCTTGTTTTAATTTCTTCAAGCATGTTTTACGTCATCTTGTAATTACCTAATGATTGATTCCTGCTTGATACACTAGGTTTACGAATTGCTCCTCCAGAAGCACCTTCAACAGGGTACATGTTTGGGAAAGGTGTTTATTTTGCTGATATGTTCTCCAAAAGTGCAAATTATTGCTATGCCTCCTCTGCTGCTAAGAATGGTGTGCTTCTGTTGTGCGAGGTTGGTTAGCATTTCAATCCAGCCCAAGTCTTGTTCCCCTCTCATTTTTTTATGTTGTTCCTTTAGTGTGCCACAATCTCTCTATATCTAGTTTGCCACTTCACATGTTTTCCGTTTCAAGGTTTGAACAGGAGGGGAAGCCCCTGCAGTCCAGAAATTAACGACATTTCTACTTCCTTTACAGGTTGCTCTTGGTGAAATGAATGAGCTGCTGTCAGCAAACTACGATGCTGATAAGTTGCCTTCGGGAAAGCTAAGGTTTCATTCGTCTCATACTTATTATGTTATTACTCAACTCAAAATACAACAAAAGAAAGTAGAGAACTGTAGTTTTTAGATATAGGGCAACCTGTTTTGAGCTGGAAATGAATGATTCATCGGAATATCATGATTCTTGACATTGCAGCACCAAAGGAGTCGGTGCCACGGCCCCAGATCCTAAAGCATCTCAAAGACTTGAAGATGGTGTCATTGTTCCTTTGGGAAATCCAAAGAACCAACGAAAGCAGGTTCGTTCTACTCCTGTTTATGACATCATTTTTACTTCACGATTCCATTTTCTCGAAACGATTATATGCATACTAAGTTTGTGATTGTGAAATTATGAATGATACATTTCTACTTTTTGTGTTAAAATGAACTTCCTTTTCTGCTGCCTAGTCCCCCATATATACTAAACATTGTCTTAAATATTTTTGCAGGGTAGTTTGTTGTATAATGAATTCATAGTTTACAACGTGGAACAAATAAGAATGCGCTATGTTATCCAGGTTGAGTTCAATCATGGAGTATAATCATATTGCAAATATAATTTCATCTTTTTAAGTTTCGAGTATCAGTAATTTTGTATAGGCATTAATGTGTCATGTAAACTTTTGAATCGTCTACACGATTCTAGCTAGGTGCAGTGAGTTTATTACATTGTGACTTTTTGTAACTATAAAATCATTCATGTTTTGCCTATTATCTCACAAAGTCACCCCTACACAAAAACTTCTTTCTTAAATCACGAACAATTGTGTATACTATCTTTTTTTTTTTGGACCATTTTTAATTTTGGTGATGGGGACCTCTAATAAGAGGCTACGCAAAACCATCAAACATGTTCGTTTAAAAACAATGCTCCGAATAAGTCCTGTAATGACATAATTGAATCTAACTATTAATAAATGACATAAACAAGTATTTTCATCGGAAGTTCAATTGAACATATGAGTCTTTTTCCTAAAATATAAAGTATATCATGAATCATTTGACGTATCTATAAAATATTATAATTTTTCGATAAAAAAATATGAATTTTCTTTAAATTGAAATTACGATAAGAGATAACGTTGAAAAAGAAGCGAGCCATTAACTTTGTTTGATTAGAAGATAGAGACTTTGTTGATTTCTTGGAAATCACATATTTATGAGTAGAGGAAACTAGAGTTGAAATGTGAGGAAACTGTCTTCTTGCTTCTGACATGTTTAATGTGACATTTATCTTTTTTTACTTTTCTCGCAAGGTTGAGGTCGTTTGTTAGAGTGTATTAGTAGTAGAAGTAATATATATTAGGGATAAGGGTCTGAAAAATATCCCAATTTTGGTCGAATTTGCTGTTGCGATACTAAACTTTCATGAAGACCTATTACCTCCCTAGATTATTTAATACCGTATTTTAAACATATATATTTGTCCACGTGGACATAAAAAATAATACAAAATTATAAATAGTAAAGTGTCCATGTGGGCACATATATACCTTTAAAATACACTATTAAATAGTTCAGAGGTAAAAAATACGGTATTAAATAGTCTAGGGAGGTAATAGGTCCTTATGAAAGTTTAGTATCGCAACAACAAATTCGACCAAAGTTGGGGTATTTTTCATACTCTTATCCCTATATATTAACTCATTGTATTATATATTATGTTTGTTATACTTTTTCATGTTATATTTAACTAATACAAATATTAGTTATACATTTTATTGTGTATTAAAGTATGTGTTAGTAATATCATGTATTTTTAGGTATTAATAATGCAATAAATTTTAACGCATACATTAACACGCTTAAAAACCTTATTGCTCCTCAAAATCTTTTTACTTTTTTTTCATCATAATTGTGACGAGTAACTTTATAAATAAATATTTTTATGCAATGCATGCTAATTTTAATATACCAAATCAGATATAAATATAATAAAAAATATAAATTTGTAAAATAAATCGTATAAATAAATACAAATAATAAAATTATCTATTGATTTTTTAATTTAACAAGTGAAAATAGATGTAGGGAAAAATTAATTCCCAACTTGCAAATATAATATAATTCTTGTAAAAAATTAATTTCACAAGTACTTATTACTATATCAAACTTGAAATGAAATAAGAGTATGTAATAGTAAAAAAAAGGGGCTCGATTCTAACTCAATTTTAAAAATTAATTTAGGAGACTAAAATTATTTAAATTATATTAAAGTGATCACTCACCTTTAAAGAATCCATATAATTGCCAAAATTCTTTTCTCTAACAATTATTTTTGAACTTTTTATTTGAAGTTTTCTTTAAAAACAATTCCAGAAATGTTTTCTTTTATTTTTTGAAGCAAATAATTAATACCACCATTGATTAATTAGTTGTCGGCTTTTCTTGGCTTCGACTTCATATCTATTATCACACACACAAAAAAAAAAAAAAATTCTTGGTCATTTATTCAATACTTACTAAGATTGAAAAGTCAAAAATTCATGGAAAAATGTTAAGGTATTTTCGTTTGTAGGGTTGATAAATATATTGATTTCATTTTTGATTATATTCATACTCTATTGCTTTGCAAATCTTGGGAAATTTAAAGAAACTTATATACAAAGATGTTGACAAACTTCGAAACTAATTTTCTGCAAGCAGCAATTAGTTGTATTTTTTTTTTATCCGGTGATCGATGCCAGCATCGAGTTCTGAATATATTTAGATCACGCAACATAGGGCCTATTTGAGGGGCACTCTCCCAACATGATTTTCTCCATATTCATCGCTCTCAAGGGTAAATTAGGAAGAATAATATTATTTATGTATTGATTCTGTGAAATGACAAGTATTTCCTCTGTTTCTATTTAGATGTCACCATTTCAGATTTCATGCACTTGAGAAACTAGGTAAGTTTATCATTGTACCCTTATTTTGTGTTCTTTTGAAACTAAGTTTTCAATAAATGAGTAATGACCATGAATTAATTTATTTTGATTAATTAATCTGCCCAATGAACATGAATGTTACTTAATTTTTCTATATTAATCAAAATGCATACTTTCAAGGTTAATAACTATCACCGGTAAAATAAGAAGAATAGTGTCGTTTATGTATTGATTTTGTAAAATGGCAAGTATTAAGGGAATATCTATATTTTTTTAGTAATAACCACATGTAAATAGAAAACGTGAGAATATTAAGAAACATCTACTTTTAATAAAGATGATTTGTAAATAGGAACGAAGAGAGTAGAATTTGAATGTTCCACTTCCAAATTAAAAAAAAACAAGAAAAGATATGTCAACTACCTCGAAATGTATAATCTATAGTAATTATCAATAACAAAGAAAAGATACGTCAACTTCCTCGAAATTTATCAATATGAGATTTTAATGTCAAACCCTCAAATAAAATAAGTAGTAGTAGTACTTTTGTGGTGAATATGTAATGTACGTCTAGTGAATAGTGATAGTCTTTGTAATTATGTATGATTATGTACTAACCATAATAAATAAATTATAAATATTTCGACCTTGTCAATATTATTCTTATATTAATTTATACGTGTATTATACGTGTATTCACATGTGACTTGCCACTATATTATTTATTCAACTGTGTAAAAGTTTCAGAAACTATAGTATTCTTTTTGTATTGAAGGAAAATATTGTAAGGATTGCATTAATTTAATTTGTTACATAATAGTCCAAAATTAATATTGTAGTAAAAAACTTCAAACGATAGAGAGGAGGAACGAGATTTTTCTCAAAAGATCAAATTTATCTTTTTATATAAAATGATTTTGGCTTAATTACGAGACACGTGATATAACTGGGTATTAAGTTTTAATCATTTGAAAATACGAGAAAAATTTAGCTCATTTTGATAATGTCGAGAGCATATTTAGTTTCATCCACACTTTTTCTATCTCAATTTATATATGGTACTTATCATTTTCTAAAAATTAAATTGATTAATCTTCGAAGTTAATTTAGATTAGACGAACTCAATATTTTAAAATTTTAATTTTCAAAAAGTACAAGAAAATTACTATGAATTAACTATTATCTCTTTATATATATATATATATACACACACCAAGGGCATATTCATGGAATTTTATGAGCTCTCTTATAACATTATTAAGAAGAGGTACAAGAACTTCCTATCGCTACTTCTGACGACCTTCTTCAGAGGACTCCACGCCAATTTCTTCTTCAATGCAATAACGGTTTACTCTGTTTACTTTTACTTGTCTATACACACACTTTTAAGAAAGTATCATATTCATATTGATTGATGAATAATTTTATATTTTAAAAAATAATTAATATTGAAGATAAAAAAGATTAATATTTATCTTTTTTTAATACATTAAAAATAACAAGTATATATATATAATATACTCCCTCCTCCGTTTCATTTTATGTGACATTTTTTTAATTTTGACATTCAGACAGACCTATTTTTGACCGTAAGTTTTTCATAGATTTTTTAAACATTTTGAATTATCAATTATTGTGACTTAGTACTTTTTATGTACTTTACAAATATATAAATTTCATTTAAAAAAAATTTGAAGATTTTATGTGCAAATTTTCGATCAAACTTAAATTGTTTGATTCTCGAAAAATGAAAAGTGCTACATAAATTGAGACAGAGAAATTAAGGGTGTGTTTGAAGTTAGAAGAATGTTTTGAAAAATGTTTTCCTTAATTTTTCAAGAGAAATCATTTTCTTTAAATTTAAGAAAAATGAATTGATTTGAAAAATATTTTTCAATACATTTAACCTTTGAAAATTGGAAACTCCATACCAAATACACTCCAAGAGGAAAGACTATTTCAGTTTCCGTAGATGAAAAGTGTGAAAGGAAGCCCGCGCTAAACCGTCCGCGCTGCACAAATATTGGGGAAAAGTATATAAGTAGTAGAGAAACTTGTCACCACTGAAAACATTCCAACAATGGCAACCATTACCAAGTTTAAAGTTGATGAATTTGACTCAGAGAAAATGAATGTTGTGGAGGAGTATAAGAAGATGAGTGTTAATGATCAGGTAAACACTGGGTCGAAGAAAAAACTTGTTCAGAGGCTCTGTGCTGCTGCTGATTTACAGATTAACGATCATCTTCCAGGTATTTTAATAGCTTTGCTGGGTCGACAAATTTCTCCTATTTAACTGTCATTAGTTTTTAAAAGACACTTCAACCGCCTCCGCAAAGTCGGTTGCGGATTTGTGCCCTTTTAACTTATTCAAATATTCAAAATTATAAATAAAAATGCTTTAATTAAAATTAATATGATTTTTTTCATGTTTTTCAATTGACCTTTAAAAAAATAAAAATTTAAATTATTATCTATTAAATTAATATAATTTAATGAGAAAATAAATTTATTTTTAGTAACAAATTTAATTTAAAAAGATAAATATTTAAAAATTTATGCAAGACAAGTGAGATGAAAATGAAAAAAATTGTTATACAAGTAAAGCGAAAAGGATTAAAATTTTTACGCATTAAGCTTAATTCGCCCCACACCGGCTCCGCCCTATTGATATCTCTTAAGGTGGCAGTGACCATTAAGGCCAATAACTCGTCAAACATGGGAAGTCAATAGAGTTTGGGGTTGTTTGGTACAAAAATAAATAACACATGAATTAGTAATGCAGAGTTTATTTTTATCAAGTGTTTGGTTAATTGTTTCCAATCTTATCTTCTATTTGGATTAAAACTCTTTAAAAATCTTATTTCTAATTATACCCTTACATTATTATGTAATTGCGTTAAGATAGATAATTGCCGGAAAATATTATTTTTTTATGACCTCCTAACTAGTTATGAGAAGAACAATTTTGTTGTCATGTTTCCAATTTTCTACTTGAATTATTAGAGGATAAATAATTTTCATCTTAATAAATTGATCATTCACAAAATGTCAATTTTCAATTTAAAAAAGATAAGGTAGAATGATCTGGGAGACTCTTATACTTTGTTCTGTTTGTAAATTGGTGGACCCCTATACTTACAATTTTGTCAACTAAACCTTTAAACTCACTAAAACACAATATTTTAAACTCTTTCCTCATCCTATGTGTGTGTCCGTGTGGTACACTCATTTACATGTATGATTCCACGTCATTTTTAATGACACATAATAAATTAAATATTAAACAAATAAAATAATAATAAAAAGAGTACTTCTGCATATGCTAGAAATTTTGAACATTATTTTCTCCATTTTTGCTCTCAAATTGAGCACCAAATTCATGTTAAATTGGTGGAATTCTTAACTATTTGACTTGAATTTTACACTATTGGTTCACAAACATAAACCCAACAAATCTCTATACAATTTCAAATTTATTTCATAAATTCACAAAATCCATTTATTATTCTTGAAGCTTCATCAAGCTTATCAATGAAGTTTTTCATTTTTCAATACCCACTATCACCAAAGAATACGCACGAAATCGAGATTTTGAAAAAGAATGAATTTTGAGAAAATATTTAGGGGTGAGACAGTGTGCGGGGTGTTAAGAAGAAGAAGGGAAATGGTGGGTGAATCCAAAGAGAGAAGGAAAGAAGTGGAATGGGTTTAAGAAATTTGGTTGGGGGTTGGTTGGGGCGGGGGGGAAGCAGCAGCGACAGGCTGCTTGAAGAAGATAACTGCCTTTATGTTTTTTTTTGGTGTTTTTCATTTATTTATTTTTTAAAATTTTAATTGTTTTTTTCATATAAATTTCACACACTTTCTTTAAAACGCGTGGAACCACTCATCATTCCAAGTCAGCAATATTAATGCCACATGTGCTCAGTCAATGGTCAGAGGTGTTTAATATATTGTGTTTCAGCGAGTTTAAGAGTTCGGTTGACAAAGTCGTAAGTATAAGGGTCTAACATACAAACGGAGCCAAGTACAAGGGTCTCCCAAACCATTCCGCCAAAAGATAAACCATCTACTTTTAAAATTAAAAAGACAGTCAACAATGATAAAATTGAATAGATCGTCTACATTTACACATAAAAATTGCAAGTTATAGTTTTAAATATGTATGTAATTTTTTAAATTGTTCAAAATACAAATAATTAGTGATATATTTGCCTTTTAATTAGTATTAGTATATCTTAAATAACTCACATTTCAAATTTGTATTGATTTGTATTGGATATATTTAGTAACAAACAACTCTCTCTAAATAATTTGTAAGCTAATTTATTTAAATAAATTTACTAGTACAAATATAAAACATAAAATCAAGAAACTGAACAAAATAATTGAAATGATTTGAGGGATATTTTTGTCTTTATATAAACTTATCCCATGGTATTATAGACCTCCAAATGAAAAGCATTAGTAATACATCCTATAATACCATGTAGAATGTATAACTAATCCATGAATTAGTATACATAGGTTCAAATTCCTACTAAACATAGTACTAAATAATACTATACATAATACATTGACTATTTTTTTTAAGGGAAAAAGGACGAATTTACCCCCGAACTTTAATAAATGGTACGTCTATGCCCTCTGTTATACTTTGTGTCCACATATGCCCCTGCCGTCCAATTATAGGTACACACATGCCCCTTTTACTAATGGACCCCTCATTTTTACACGTGTTTTAGTCCTAATGAACTACCCGTTTGACCTTTTTTTTAACCCATAAACCAACTTAGCGCCCCATAATCCAATACCCACCCAATTTCCTCTAAAAGACATCCTAATTAAAGACCCAAATTAACAGGTCCCATATCTCACATACAAAACCCTAGCCTAGTTCTGTGTTCCCCTGCAGTTTCTCCCTTTCTTCTTCTGAAATCACCAAACAATTTCCAAAATTGCTATCACACCTCCACATCTTTGTTTTTGTGTATAACTTCTAATAGAAGTCAATGATCTTCCCCTTGATCCTTGTTGGGTCATCAGTGATTACTCCTTGTACATGAATTGTTCTATGTTATTGTATCTTTTATGGGCAATGGCCATTTTGTGAAAGAACTTGGTGATCCTATCACCCTCTTTAAGACAGAGATGTAGACTTTTGTTTCCATGAGCACTCTTCATTTTTATGGACTTCCTCATTATCCATTAATAATGTAGCTTTCATCCTCAGTCAAAGTCGTCACAGCAAGCATTCTGTCCATATCTGCTAACTGGCTGAGGATGTTCTTTCTTTAAGAGTAAAATTTCCTTGCAAACTTCTAATCTATTCGTTGAGTTTTGCTTTGAGTGCCTTCATTTTACAAGCCAAGATGAGGGAGACGACAAATAGATGAAAAATTGGCTACGAAATTATGACCAACACACTATAGATTCGACGAAGACAAGGTGGAATCGACCAACAAACTGGAATCGACGAAAGAACTAGGCTAAGGTTTTGTGTGTGAGATACGGGACCTGTTAATTTGAGTCTTTTAATTAGGATGCCTTTTAGAGGAAATTGGGTGGATATTGGATTATGGGACGAATAGTTGATTTATGGGTTAAAAAAAAGGTCAAACGGATAGTGAATTAGGATTAAGACACGTGTAAAAAATAAGGGGTCTGTTAGTGAAAGGGGCATGTGTGTACCTATAATTGGACGGCAGGGGCTTATGTGGACGCAAAGTATTACGGAGGGCATAAATGTACCATTTATTAAAGTTCGGAGATAAATCCGTCCTTTTCCCCTTCTTTTAATAAGGCCTACCAAACGACCCCTTTAAGTACTAATGTACTAATCTTTCCATTACAAAATACTTGTGGTAGTTTTTTTTAATTTTTTATTTAAGTTCAAAATTTAATTTAATAGAAAAATTATAAATTGTTTCATATTGATGAAAATATATATTTCTTCCTTTCCATTTTCTTTATTTATTTTACTTTCTTTTTTTAATCCATTTTGTATTTAACAATTACGTGAAAATTATTAAACTATAACAATTTAAAATATTTAAAAAACATGTAAAATTATTATAAATTTATAATAATTAACAAAATATAAAATTTTGGTTGATTTCTAAAAAAATTATAGGTGCAACATTTATTAAAACTGTTAAAAGAATATATATTATTTAAAAATTACTATTAATCACAATATTAAATATTTAAAAATTGTATAAGAAATTTGATCAAGTTTTATAATTCTAACTGTGTGTATTTTGTAACTTCATTGACGAAAAATTAAATTTGCTGGTGTTGTGTGAACTTGCTCTCAAAACATTCGCCGGAGCTCGACGGCGTCAATCTGGTCTGCTTGATTTTCCGGTCGGTAATTACCGGTGACGGGTCAGGTACCCATGTTGATTTGGGAGCTGATTCTTTATCTCCTCCCTTTAGCTTCTTCATCATTACATTGCTCAGGCCACCTCTTCTTCTTCCTCCGCCTAACGCCACCACTGCATATCCCTTCATACAATGTAAACCCAAAAGAAATTGGCTTTGACCAATAACTTTCAAGTGTATTAATAACTTGTCAATTTGAGATGACGACAACAAAAACATACTAGTGTGATCCCAACAAGTACACAAATCTTACCCCTACCTTGCGAAAGGTAGAGAGACTGTTTTCGATATACCCTAATTTGAAATGACACATTTGCAGATTATTGCAATTTTCATATAGCTTTGTGATAGTCATTTGTGACAAAATTTTGAAACTTGGGAGTAGCTAGTTTAGGTAGAATTGAAGTATTGAACTCTTTAGGAAGCTTTTAAACAGTAGATTATTATCATAATGCAACAGAATGGTAATAATGCACTATATTATACTGATTAACACAGAAATGTAGTAAAGTTGTTTGTTTCTACCAAGTGCTACAGTCTAGCCTGAAACTAACTTGACTATTTACGCTATCTATTTGGTTGTGCTTTTCATCCATTTTTAATGAGGAATTACTGCATCTTGTTTACTGTTAAAATGTTTGGCAGTTGGAGATGAAGGCGAGACAGAGAAATTGGTCACAGCAACAAAGAAGGGTGCAGCTGTTTTGGATCAATACCTGTCAGATGAAATCAAGGCATTATACCATGTCCTGCAACGAGTAAGTCTTTTAGAATTTTTTTGCTTCTGGCTGCAAAGAAGTATCTGTATTGTTCTATTTTCGCCCTCATATCTTGTCGAATAAAGTTCATTTGGATTCCAATGGATTCTTGTTGATCTGCAGGGAAATGATATTTATGATGCCACATTGAACCAAACAAATGTTGAGAACAACGATAACCAATTTTATATCATTCAAGTTCTAGGTGATTCTCCATTTGTTGCCTCATATACATCTTAATTTGTCGGAAGCAAACTGCCTAGTTGGCTTGTTTACCTTTTAAAGTGGTTTTCTATGCTATGGTAGCAATATATACCATAATAAATTGTTCCAATTTATTAGTTGCTAAATCAGCTGACTACTTCTGATGGTGCGCCAACCCTGAGGACAGCTATGAATGTTGTATTTGGTTCTTCATCTTCTAGAGATAATCAGAATTCTTACATATTTGAAACTTGCTGATATTACATCATGTCATTACCCTTCTCCATATTTGTTTGGCCTGATTCTATTCATCTGGTTGTAGAGAATGATTGTGATGGGAATTTCCTTGTTTACACTAGATGGGGTAGAGTTGGTGCAAAGGGTGGAACGAAGATCAGTGGCCCCTATACGTCTGCCAGTGATGCCACATCTGAGTTCGAGCGTAAATTCTATGAGAAGACCAAGAACTGTTGGTCTAACCGCAAAGATTTTTTTTGTCAACCAAAGCAATATGCTTGGTTGGAAATGGAGTATGATGAAAATGGGGAAGACTCATCAGTAAGTTGTCTTAAGTTGCTTGTTCTCTATTGGGACAATCATGTAGTAAATTTATTATTTCTGCATTGATGTCGAATCTATTGCTCTGTATCGCAATTGTGTAGATGTATTAAACTCATTATTGTTTTCATCAACTTAGAATCTTTTGCTCTACTTTCTGCTGTTGCATCTGAGTCGAGTTGTGAAAAAATCACGCAATAACTTGTAATTTTGTATCATATGAATAAACAGTTCGGTTTGAAGTACCATTCTTGTTTATCAAGTTGACATTGCAGAAGATATAAAATGGTGTTTACTGATCTGAGGGCTTCATGAACCTCTTAAACAGATCCAAGGACAGTCCATTCTAGTACCAAAAAGTCGACCTCGTGAGACTAAGCTGGAGGCCCCGATTGCAAAGTTCATATCTCTTATTTGTGACATCAATATGATGAGGCAGCAAATGATGGAAATAGGTTTAACACTTTTCTGACACCATAATGGTTCTTATCTCGATATTCATCACGTCTATTGTAACTGCTATATATTCTTGTTATTGTTGAACAGGGTACAATGCTAACAAGTTGCCACTCGGTAAATTGAGCAAGAAAACTATTTTAAAGGCAAGTATCCGAAGTGTGATTTATGCTTTAGTGTCTCATTTCTGAAGTACTTAGTTTTATCTCCATTTATTTAAATCTGTGTGGCCCTGAATGAAAAATAATCGATGAAGCATATACCAAATCATGTAAAGATTCTCTTAAACCTAAATTTATTACTCCCTATGTTTCAATTTGTTTGTACTACTTTCTTTTTTAGTTCGTTTAAAAAAGAATGCCTATTTCCTATTTTGGCTACTCTTTAATTTTAACTTTCCATGTAGCATGTTTAAAACCATAAGATTAAATGGCATTTTGATACATTTGACACATTTTTAATTTGAGCCCACAAAATTCAAAAGTATTCTTTACTTTCATATACTCCGTGTCAAGTCAAAACATGACAAACAATTGAAACGGAGGGAAGTATCTTCAAATATTGATATTCCCTTTGTTCCAGTTTACTTGATTTGCCTTTACCATTTCCTCCGAAATTCTGTTTTTTCTATATAGAATTTAAACATTCTAAGTAGTATAACCTAATTCTATGAAATAATGTCTTCTTTTCTGAGATATAATTTTACCCCCACTAATATTTCCTCATCAAAGCTTGAGGTGTTGATTGGTGCTCTCCTGGAGTGCCGAAAATTCTTAGTCCTGAGGGTATCATGCTTTACTACCCTCACCAAGACATAAATGAATCAGCAAATGGAATAATAAATGAGAGAAAAAAGAGAATTACTACTCTGGACTATTTAACTAAAAGTTTGTGTCTGTTTAGGGCTATGATGTCTTGAAAAATATTGCTGATGTTATAGGCCAGTCCAACAGGACACTGCTTGAAGATTTGAGCAGGTAAGTTTGTTTCATTCCTACTGTGAGTTGTCTGATTATGGTCAATGCACATCTGCTTAGCCCTAACCATGTTGTTTCTGAAATTTTAGAAGCTTCAGCAGCTGTTTGTAATCATTAATATATGGTTGCTGATATTTCATCATTTTTATGTTGCAGTCAATTCTATACAGTCATTCCTCATGATTTTGGATTCCAGAAGATGTGTAAGTCATCTTAGTTCCATCTTTACCAAAGCCTCATTTTGCCTCGTCCTGCTTCATCTGCTTGCTTGATCCTCCAGTCTTCTTTTCTCCTTGTGTCCTTTTTTCCCTTCAGTTACTTCATGTAGATGGTAGTTGTTCTGTTAGTTTTGGTGTAACTCACTAATATACTCATTGTCCTACTGTCAGGTGAATTTGTCATCGACACCCCTCCGAAGTTAAAATGCAAAATTGAAATGGTGACTGATTTTTTCTTTTTTCTAAATTCGCTCATTTTCTCTTTCCTCCTGATCATTATTCTCTATGTATGTGCATTTCAGTCTAAAGGGTAGACGTGTTTGCTTTGTAGTGCTTTTGACAGTTAATTAGACTGACTGATTATTTGATGTTCATCATCAACTATTATGTCCATCTAGAAGCATGAATTTCTTATTTACTGATAGTTGGTGTTCCCTCACAAATGAGTTAGTTTTAAGCTGTCCGGCTATATTTATTTGCTAACAAAGAAAATGTTAGAAAGTTTAATTAGCTGTTGTTTGTAAACAATAATCTTTACAATGAAATTTTAGTTCAATGGTCTTTTACATTTATTTCCGTGCTGCTTGTCTATTGTTTGACTTATTTCTACCTGATCCTTTTTCTGTGCTAAACTCTTGGAAACGAAAAGGTCGAAGCTCTTGCTGAAATTGAAGTCACAACTAAGTTATTGGAGGATAAGACAGATATACAGGTACTGCTTTGTCGAGTCCTGTTGAAAGTATTTGTTTAAATTTTGGTGCGAAAAGAACATTCTGTTTTGGTTGAAGCTATGTTCCAAGAGATCTGGCTTTTAACACAATATCATTTGCTTTAGCACTCAATAAGTGTCTTGATGATTAATATATGGCTCTGAATTGGCATCATCATATTGTAGGAGGATCCCTTGTTTTATCAATACGAACAACTTGGCTGCAAACTTGTTCCAGTTGAAGTCGGTTCCCAGGAATTTCTCATGGTATGAAAAAGTTTTTGCGGGATCTATTACTTCATGGTTTTTTATCTTCTGAGTATAGTATTTCTTCATTCAGTGGTTGATCAGCATGACAAGTATGAATATTGTGAACTTTATTTGTTCATCTGGTGCACATCATGTCTTCTAGATTATTATTCATCTCTGCAGTTTATAAAGATGAGTGATGTTATTTTTGGTCAGATTGAGAATTACATGAAGAATACCCATGCAAAAACACATTCGAGTTATGCTGTCGATATTGTTCAAGTATTTAGAGCATCAAGAAATGGTGAAACTGAAAGATTCCAGAAGGTGAACTGCAAAGTCTCATAAGATTCATTACAACAATTTTTTTCTATGTTTCTTAATCTTATAACTACTACTACCCAAGGGCCAAGACTGATGTAAAATCTGTGACTCTCTGGATGCAGTTCTCTGATATGAGTAATAGAATGCTTCTATGGCATGGTTCTCGGCTCACAAACTGGGCTGGCATTCTATCACAGGGTTGTTTGCTTATTCTCTTGTTTTAATTTCTTCAAGCATGTTTTAAGTCATCTTGTAATTACCTAATGATCTATTCCTACGTGATACACTAGGTTTAAGAATTGCTCCTCCAGAAGCACCTTCAACAGGGTACATGTTTGGGAAAGGTGTTTATTTTGCTGATATGTTCTCCGAGAGTGCAATTTATTGCTATGCCTCATCGGCTGCTAAGAATGGTGTGCTTCTGTTGTGCGAGGTTCGTTAGCCTTCCAATCCAGCCCAAACTTTGTTCCCCTCTTATGTTTTTATATTTTTCCTTTAGACAAGTCCATTTTTGTGTGCCACAATTTCTCTACATCTAGTTTTCCGTTTCACATGTTTTCTTTTTCAAGCTTTGAATAGGGAGGGGAAGCCATGAAGTCCAAAATTTAACGACGTTTCTACTTCCTTTACAGGTTGCTCTTGGTGACATGAATGAGTTACTCTCAGCCAACTCTGATGCTGATAAGTTGCCTTCGGGAAAGCTAAGGTTTCATTCTTCTCATACTTATTATGTCACTGCTTCGATATAGAGAAACCTGTTTTTAGCTTGAAAAAACTTGATTCATGGAAATATCTTGTCTTCTTGATATTGCAGCACAAAAGCAGTCGGTGCCACGGCCCCAGATTTTAAAGAAGCTCAAATACTTGAAGATGGTGTCATCGTTCCTCTGGGAAATCCAAAGGAGCGACCAAAACACGAGGTTTACACTACTCCTGTTTATGACATTGTTTTTACTTCACAATTCCATTTTCTCGAAACATTATATGCATATGATGTTCGTGATTGTGAAATTATGAATGAGAAATTCTACTTTTTGTGTTAAAATGAACTTCAATTTCTGCTGGCTAGTCCCATATATACTAAACATTGCCTTACATGTTTTTGCAGGGTATTTTGTTGCATAATGAGTACATAGTTTACAATGTGGAACAAATAAGGATGCGCTATGTTATCCAGGTTGAGTTCAATTATGGAATATAATCATATTGTAAATATAATTTCATCTTTTTAAGTTTCGAGTATCAGGAATTTCTTTTATGTCATGTATATATAATTTCATCTTAAATCAATCCAACTGGAGAACAATCATGTATAATAAGTATTAAAATTGTATTTTTGCTATTGTTCTAAGTATTACAAAGTAACTAAGTAAATTGTTTTTTAGATAAATAAAATTTGTTAGTGTCCTCTGAACTTGCTCTTCAAAAGCATTTGCCGTAGCTCAACGGCGTCAATATGGTCTGCTTGATTTTCTGGTCGGTAATAACTGGTGACGGGGTGAGGTACCCATGGTGATTGATCTTCATCTCCTCCTTTCAACTTCATCATCATCCTGTTGCTCAACTCACTTCCTCTTCTTCCTCCGCCTGATGCTACCACCGCGTATCCCTTCCTACAATATGCAAATCCAATTAAAATCATTTTTTGGAACATGTTTGAGTGAACGAGAAAGAAAGGATTTATGATGAAACAAGAGTTTTTACTTTAAAAAAAATCAAATATAAGATTGTCTACAACACACAAAGAAGTTAGCGAGAGCTAATATACATAAATCTATTTGACGTATCTATAATTTTTTGATGAAGAAATATGGATTCTCTTTAGATTGAAATTGATAATTAATTACCTGGTTACAAGAAGAGAGAATCGATTGGACAAGAACTTAACGTTGGAAAAAGAGCGAGCCATATATATATATAGTTATCAAAGTGATATTATGCCAAAGAAAATATATGATATGAGTTAATTAGAAGAATGTTTTGTTGATTTCTTGGAAATTCTTGGATGAAGAAGCATGGTATAAGAGGTGGCCATATTTATAAGTAGAGGAAACTAAGGTGTTGTGTTTGTGAAAAATAAAGACGATTTTTTGGAAGAACAAATAATCCTAGATATTTAGTAGAATTTTCTGGAGTAATATCCTAAGTACTTGATGCATCTAAGAATTGTGTAGATGTTTTAGAGAATTAAATATTTTTAGTGAATTATAGAAATATCTAGATCCTTGTTAGATAGTTAGAAGATAAGGATATCTAGATTAGAATAGTTTCTAGAAGCATCACAAGTATAAATAGGGGTGACATTAGGCATTTGTAAGTAACTCAAAAATAAAGACATTTCAAAGCATTCAAGAAGTGTTCCAAAATCTACTTTCTCCCTTCTAGCTTCCTCTTCCTTTAGTTGAATCTTTTGATCTTAGTTAACGATCTTGGGCTTGCAAAAGATCTCTCAGATTATACTTTTCTTCTGCTATTCTCTACCGTGTTCAGCCCAAATTAGTGTTGAAATGTGAGGAAAAGGTCTACTTGCTTCTGACATTTTGAATGTCATATTTTCTACTTATCTTCAAACACCAAATTTTGATCCTTTCATATTTGATTTGCCACGTTTTAAAAGAAATAATAAATATAGTGATAATTTTATTATAACATCTTTAATTACATATTATTCTTTTAGTTTCAATTTATATGATTATACTGTTGATTAGCAAAAAGAAATAATGAAAGGATTTATTTTGACTCCTATAAACTCATATTCATAATG